GGTAAATGTTTGACCCTCTGGGCCTAACTAGTCTGCTAAGATTACCATTCAACTTTTGAATATGTTACAAACACATTTGAACTAATTAAAATATTTTTAATTCAACAGTTTTTTTAAAACAAAGATATATTAGCTAATTCAACCACTCTTGTCTTAAGGAGAAATATGATGCATTAGCATATAAAAGCTTGACATCATAGGCATGTTTAAACTGTGTACCATATTTGAGTGTTTCTTCCCTCCACTTCAGGGTAAGTAAACCACAAGGTATGATGATGTTCCCAGAGTGCTCTGTACATATTCCTGTGCTTAACAACCTCACTTTGTGGATTTGTATTATTCTCTGCTGCTTTTAAAACTTTGTTTGCTTGTGAGAACATGGCTATTTCTTGGACTATCTAAAATCATTCCAAATAGCACTAGACTGAGTAAACAGAGTTGCTAGATCTCATTTTTTTCTGCCTTTTCATTAACTCAAAGTATGGCGCCATAGAGAAATACAGACACTCTATATAAACTTCCAGTATTCTAACTGTGATTTGAAGAGGAAGATACCATCCCATTGGTTAATTTAAAAATATGATTTTCAGATTACATTAGGCACATACAAAATTAAACACCTCATAGCTAATGTCTAAATATCATACCTTCACTTTTTCTCAGTTAATGTAATGAAAAAATGATGACCAATATAGAGCCAAGGGCTTGCCTTGGAGTCAATACTGACTTATTAACAACTACTTTTAGATTTCAGTTTTTAATCACTTCCAAATTCACACACCCATATGTACCATTGGCTATACCAGGACTCATCCTGGTCCTATTTCTGTACCTTAAGCTGGGTTTTTTATATTGTATTATATATGTATATAATATTTTACATAACATACATAATATTTTGTTATATTTATTTTATATAATATATAATCTTTTATATAATGTTATTTTATATTACTTGTGTGTGTGTGTGTGTGTGTGTGTATTTTGTCTAGGCAATGGAATTAAGTGACTTACCCAGGGTCACATAGCTAGTGAGTGTTATGTGTCTGAGACTGGATTGGAACTCAGGTCCTCCTGACTCCAGGGCCAGTACTTTATCAACTGTGCCACCTAGCTGCCCCATTTTTTTTTTTTATATTTTAAACGAAGTTTTGCTGTACTTAAAAAGATAAAACGTTAGCTCAAGGGCTGTGCACAAGCAAGCAACAAATAGAATCTGGCTCACAGACCATAGTTTGCTAATCCTTGAGCTAGACTATATCTTTTCTCGCCATCATGTCCATAAGAACATGCTATTGCATGAAAGACTGTCAAATGTTTGCTGAAATCTGTTAACAACTTTTTAAAGATATTTCCCTGATTTTTCAATCTAATTATCATGACCAAAAAAAGAAATTGAGTTGCTCTGGTGTGACCTTTTTCCTTGCTAAATCATTGATGGCTTTTAGTGAATACTGCTTTGCTGTCTAAAACTTCAATAAATATTCCTTTAATTAGGTGTTCTGCAGTTTAGCAAGAATTGATATTAAAGTGATTACTCTATATGAGCCATATTCTCCCTTTTTCAGAAATTGTGCTAATGTTTACATTTCTCCAGTCTTATAGAGCTGTTCTTCTTCTCCAAATTCTGAGATAAATTTGATTTCTGAATTATCTGGAAGATCCTTCCAGTGATTCAGAGAGCATCTCGTTCATGACTGTCCATTCTGAGCAACTCTAGTCTGTACCCTCTCATTACCTTACCGTAGAGGATTCTTTCAGCCTTTGCAGACTTTACTTTTCTCCTAAGGTCTTATGCATGTCTTTTTAAAAATATTAATTTATCAATAAGTTCCCTTGCCTTGAAACCATGGTTTATTTAACAAATTCCTCTTTTTCCTCCACATTACAACAATTTCTCTTTGTGTTGTCAGAATTTGTTTCTCGAAAGAGTCTCATTCTTCTTGGGCTTGCTTCTCCGGTGGAGTTTTAAGTCATTAGACCTATTTTTTATTTGAACACTTTGAAATCTTATCTCCTAGCTTATCTTGCCAAATAACTGATAAGATGGAGTGATCATTTGCCTCCAATGATTTTTTTAATCTCATCATAAATCAAATACAGAATAACAATTAGCTTTGTCTGTTCTTGCACCCTATGAAGGGTAACATAGAAAGAGTATTTAAGGCTCACCATAAAGTATTTCCTAAACGCGAAAGTCTAGTAGACAAAGAAGACCAAAAATATGTTGGACATTCTTAGGAAAGGCATTGGAAACAAACTTGCTAAGGTTGTTTGCTCATATTCAGTCATTTTCAGTCATGTCCAACTTTTCATGACCTACTAAAACGGTTTGCCATTTTCTTCTCCAGCTCATTTTATGGATAAGGAAATGGAGAAAATAGGGATTAAATGACTTGCCCAGGGTCATACAGCTCATGTCTGATGCTAGATTTGAACTCAGAAAGATATGTCTTCCTGACTCCATGGCTAGCAATCTATCTAATGCACCAACCAGCTGCCTCTGCTGAGCATGTTTAGAGGGATTCATATTTTAGGATGACATTGAAAGAGATAACCTTCGAGTTTCTTTTAAGTCTATAACTCTATGACACTGTGATTAGCCTATCCTTATAGAACACATCTGTACCTAAAATGTTATATTTATTACTATTTAGCACCTCAAAAAAGGCATTATATATGGAAAGTCTAAAGATGGGATACTAAGTAATCAAGGGAATGCTATATAAAGACAAATAAAAAGAAAAAAAGCCTGAGAGGGAGTATGATAGAAGTCCTCAACATTAGGAAGAAACTAGCTTCTATGGATGCAGATTTGTTTACCAAATGTCAAAATGCAAGTATTAGAGTTTAGCCCTTGAGATTGGACAGATATATATACCAAAGACAATTAGGAAGAAGCACTACTTAAAATACTGGTGGTAAAGAAAGTAACTCTTTATTCACATGGGGTGGTAATATTATAGATAATATTAGATATTACAATCAGGTAATACATATTATCATAATATATCAGGTAACATATATTTAGTAATATATAATTGCAAATAGATAATGAGGGTAAAATAAAGTTTTAGATGAACTCAGTGATGGTAGATCAAAATGAACTGAAAAAGTGGTCATGGTCTTTAATGGAAAGAATAGTGAAAAGACCAAGGTTCTAGTCCTGGCTTGTAAATTTATTAACCACTTTACCTTGGACAAACCACATAATTCCTGTAGATTTCTTTGTGCACTTTCTTTTCTCTAAAATGGTAAGATTAGATGATTTCCTGCTTGTACACTACATAATACTTGTATACTACATAATTGTACACTACATAATACATATACATAATAAAGTATATTATTTCTATAAAGATTAATAATTCATTAAAATACAACTTTAATAACCTTGGTGGGGACCAGGAGCCATGACAGTAGGTAGGAAAACAATATCCTTGGACAAAATGTCATTTGTTACAATGATCAGCTGGATTTGTCAATTTAATACAATAAACAGATATTAAGAGACTAAGGTGTAGGGACTATCTGATCTAGTATGACAATTTCTCCTGGCAATTGGTGGGTAAAGTGAAAGTTGTTTTGCTAATGTCTTTTAAATGAACTCTTATGTTTGAGGATTTATGATTCTGTGAATGCTCCTCAGGGAGTCGAAAAGACCTGGTGTTGAATCAGTCATTTAAATTCTAGGTGAATTATGTTCTCTCTATATAAAATGGGAATAATAAAACTTACTCCTAGGGAATATTAGTAAAATATTCTGAGAACCTGAGATGAAATGTGTTTGGTAATTATGTTTCTCTGATGATTTCCTCCTCTTTTTTATTCTATCTGGACTTCCTACAATAACCTTGATCTTCTAAATCCTTAATTTTTGCACAGTTTGTTATGCTTTTCTCTCCTTTCTAATCTTATTTCCAAGTTAGAAGCTACTTAACATATTTGTTTTGGGGGACTTAGTCTGACTTTTTCATCCCTCATTGTCACTTTTTGGCATTTTGTTTTGTTTTCCCAAAAGTTTTCTGTGTCTTCTCATTTTATTTGTCATCCAATATTAGTTTTGTTACCTGAAGGTGACAAAGATTACATGATACTATGCAAGTAGGATTGCAGCAACAGTTCCTTATGCCTGTGGCCAATATTCTCTCCTTTATATCAATATATAATTACTTCATGCTTTAATTTGGGTCATTGCTAATGAAAGATAGCATTTACTTTCAAGGGAAGCACTAAAAAAGTTTTCTTTTTCCTTCAGATCAGAGAAGTTATTTCTCATATATAGCCACTTATTATCCTTTTTGAACTTATTTTCACAAACTATAGTTCCAGGGGGGTTTTTTTGGTAGCATAAGGTAACATGTTTCATATGTGATTCTGTCAATGTAGCATAGGAATTCAAATTCTGTCTACACTCATAACCTTAACCAGTAATGCACTTGGTAGGATTTCGCGGTATGTCAGAATCAAAATTCAGTTGAAATTTTCCCCAGTTTAAGTAGCTGCTTTGATTGATTTTTTTTCTTCCATATTTATCTGATGTAGTTCCGCGACAGCAGTCTTAGTTTTGACACTCCCCTACTTTCCCTATCTGTATTCAGGCAAGGCCTCTCTTTAAAACATATGCACAATGTTTCAAAGTACCAGAGCAGAGAGCTCCATCCAGCTGTTTTTCATTTATTGGAGGTCGAGTGTGCTGGTCCCATTACTTGACATCTATTCATTTTGCTAGCAATACAACAGTTCCTGTCTGTCCTTCAACAAATGATTCTCCTTGCCTTTCAGTCACTGGAAAGTACTCATTTAAAAGATGTTAAAATTATGTGTGCCCTCTGTCCTCAAGAAGTTACAACCACTTCAGTCATAGATGTAATGATTCCTCTGTGCCTTTTGTGAAGACTCTGGAGAGGAGCTCTGATCACATAAGTAAATGAGATACAAATTAAATTCAGCACAGTCATTAACACGTTTCCTATTGGACACTTCTTTATCTTTCACAGAATTCCCAACCTGTGAGCCGCTAACTCAGTTTATATGCAAAAACGGAAGATGCATTAGCAGCAAATGGCACTGTGATTCAGGCAAGTACCAAATGTTTCCAATATAATCTGATTTGATGGGGGACTTGGCTGTCTTGTTGACTATCTTCCTTCAGAGAGGCTAAGTAGAAAACTTGTGACATATGCTGAGAGAGGGGACTGACACACCAAGGTGATCAGCTTTTCAACTCCTCTGCGTATATAAGTCCATGTGTGTATAGACTAAATATACACACCAAGTGAAGGGAGCTATTGAGGAAATTATCTGAATTATCTAGACCCTTCAGAATTATTCATTGAAATATTTAGCTCCCCAAGACAATGGCCATTTTACAAGTCACAATTTATAAGTCCAAATTGCCTTAATTTTCTCACTTCCAATAGTTCTATTCTTACACTAAAATAGGAGTGTCATGTTTTAAAGTAAAGTAGATGAATAAAATTAATTATATAAATAGAATTGGATATTTACAACTTGAGTAATTTCCTTTTTAATTATTTGAATTTTACTTTTTTTAAACTGTTGATTTTTTAAAAAAATGTTATTCAGAGTTAGGTAATGGTATAAACCAGTTGTTCTTAAAGTTTCAGCTCCCATATAAACATATGCTTGCAAACATGCACACAGGTAGTAAGTTGACTTTAAACTCTGGAGAGAATAGGGGGCGGGGTTTGAACAAAATTTCTTTGGGTTCAATGTGTAAATATCAGAGAAAGTATAATTGGGTTGTGGGCACAAGTAGAAAAAGGGTAGCCTGGAAGGGATGATCATTTATTTATGTGCCAATTATACCAAAACTCTTACCATTTCATATAAATTCTACCTCTACTCTTTAATTATTTTATGCTTCATGTATGAAATAATTTCATTCATTAGTCAGATCTTACTAGGAATAAAATATATACCATAATGACTACTGTATCAGCTGTGTATAATTTTGATGTTTCTCTTTAGACCTAGAGAAAGATAAATTTAAGATCAGTCTCATCAATTGTAAATAGTACTTTGGGATAAGTTTACACTAAGTGAGCTTCCTCTCTTTCTATGTAAACTTTCAGATGGTTACACCATCTTCGTAGGTTTAACATTACACGTGCCTCTTTCCAGATGATGACTGCGGTGATGACAGTGATGAAGTGGGTTGCATTCACTCTTGCTCTCATAATCAGTTCAGATGCTCCAGTGGCAGGTGCATTCCAGGACACTGGGCATGTGATGGTGACAATGACTGTGGAGACTTCAGTGATGAAACCAAAGCAAACTGTACCAAAGAAGGTTAGTTATTTTGTAGAAGCAGAGATCTTTATTTTAAGTTGTAAACAACATTCAGAATTGTTGACAGTATGCATTGCATTTGAAAAGAAAGGGCTCCTCCAGCAGAGATCATGTAGGGGGTACTCAGTAAGAAAATCAATTCACTATCTCTAGCACTGCCTTCCATCCCTGCCACCTCCACTTACATCCCATTAGCAATTCCTTCTGCCCTTGTTACCCTCTCATGTTCTACCTCTCCCTTCTTGAATGCATTTACTTATCACTGTCCCAGCCATACTCTCCCATCTTCTAAGTTTTTAAATCCCCCAAAATAGCAAAACCACAATTGTAAAAACACTTTTACTGATATCTAAAATTCATCAAGATCAGTTAGGAAACGCAGTGGATAGAGTGCTAGGCCTGGAGTCAAGAAGATTCCTCTTCATGAGTTCAAATCTGGCCTCAGGCAACTGCTAGTCATGTGACCCTGGACAAGTCACTTTCCCCTGTTTGCCTCAATTCCTCAATTTGTAAAATGAGCTAAAGAAGGAAATGGCAAACCATTCCAATATCTTTACCAAGAAAACCCCAAATGGGGTCACAAAGAGCCAGACATGACTAAAACATGTCTGAACCAACCAAAATTAATCTCTTCTTCTTTATACTTTTCCATTTCTGACAGACAGTGTCTTGCTATTTATTTATATGTGCTATTCATCCCAGAGAATAGGGTCATATTTATTGTTTTTAATGGATTTCTATATAGTATCCATGAGTATCATGTACAGGTGGTTGTATTTATGAATAAAAAGGCATGTGTTAAGTAACTGTGTACCGGGAATTGTGATAAGCATCAGAGATTAAAAAAAAATTGAAGATGGTCCATCTCCTTAAGAAACTTACATTCTAATGAGAGAGACAAACCATGGGTAATGGTAGCCAATGAAGGGTATTTTGATTTGGAAATTTGAAGAGACTGTAGAGCTAGACTGATACTTTCAAGTAGTATTGATGGTAGTATTGATTTCATGGTGGTTTCAGAACCTGAAGGTGAGCTGAAGGGGATGGTGGGAAATTTAGAGAGTCCATACTCAGCAAGAGATAGTTGCTGAGAAAATGGCAGGGATGTAAAATGGAGCATCACTGGAGCAGCCAGCTTGATATAGTGGCTCACATTTCAGGAAATTCACCAATGTTGGGGGTGCCTGGATCAAAAATTCCAGACAGAGAAGGGTTAAGTCCTTCAGGGCACGGAGTGATTAGAGCAATAATTAGGCTATTCACACCCAGGACTTGATTGGCCAAAGGGACTAAAGCTTAAGCTATACATCTTTTGAAGCAGCAACCTGGTAACCTCTGGCCATATTGTAGTGGCTTTCTGGTCACTTAAGACCAAAAAAGGCCCAGGGACACAGAGTTGGGGCCCAATCCACTCTAGTTTTCACACCCTCCTCTCCTGACCAGACACAGAAAAGAGAAGGTGATTTCTAAGCTAAGTGCTTTAGTATCTTTGTTGATGATCTTTTCTAAGGCTATGCCAAAATAAACCTTGTTTTGTTAAACCTCATAGGGCTTCTACTCTAGACACCTAGGTAGGGAGGGAAAAATGTAGCATTTCCAACAGTTTTTAATTTCTTTTTTTTTCTGTGAATAACATTACATTATGCAATAGCTTTTCTAGCTTGGTCTCTTCATTCCTAGATAAAGGAAGCATCTTTTCTCCCTAATGTAAGAGAAGTGTTTCTGCTTTATTCATAGGAATTCCAAACCTAGGAGTTCTGAAAGATCTGTACATTATCTTAGAGATGCCCAAGTGTCATTCTGGTTGGAGCACTTTTAGTCACTTATTACTAGTATAGATGCTAAAACCTTTTTGTTTCCTCTTTGGTTCTGTCAGTGAATACAGAGAAAGGTAGATTATTGAGGATATTATACATATAATTTAATTAAAGCTTTCTGAATTGTTTGTTTTTAAACTAACATATTCTGGAATACATTTTCCAACTGTTTCAGGAGAAAGCATGTTTATTTAATTTTTGTTTTGCAAGAATAATCAAAATAATAATAAAAATAATTGTAAAAGTCAAATGCCATTCCATATATGGGAAAAAAGTAACCTATGAATCAGGAGAAATTATTCTTTAGGTCACTGATGAATATACTGCCTCCCTGCCTTACCTTGGTTGCATAGATTTGATGATAGCCACAGTAAACCTGAAAATGATCTATGTCTCTCCTAGACTGAAAGAATGCTCCTCTGTACTACTTAACTTATAAGTGGCTTAAATTTTGTTTTACTTAACAATTAGATTCATAGATTCTTCTTAACTTCCCCAATTATTTTTGTTGTTCTTCTTTCAGTATCACTCAAGAGAAATACCTGATAAGTTCCTAATATTTTTGGCTTAAATGGACATTTAACTATGTCTTACATTTTATTTCTTAAACCTATACCATGGTCACATAGTCAGTTATTCAACTAGTATTTATTAAACACCTACTATGTGTCAAATACTCTCCTAAGTATCTAAATATATATTTTTTAAAAAGACACAAGAGAGTTCTGACCCTTAAGGAGCTCACAGTTCAATGGGGGAGACAACATGTAAATAACTATGTACAAACAAGATATAGGTAGGATAAACAGGGTGGGGGAGGGTCTCAGAGGGAAGGTGCTAAGATTAAGGAGTTCTAAGAAAGCTTCTTTCAGAAGGTGGACTTTAGCTGAGACTTGAAGTCAGGAAAGCTAGGAGGCAGAGATGAGGAAGAAAATTCTAGTCATGAGCAAGAGTCAGTAAAAATGCTCAGAGTAGGAAGATGGAGTGTCCTGTGTGAAGAACAGCAAGGCGGCCCAGGTCACTTGATCCCAAAGTACATGGGAGCAAGGAAGATATAAAAGATTTGCTGGGTAGGAAGGGACTAGGTTATGAAGGTCTTTAATAATCAAACAGATGATTTTATTTTTCATCCCACAGGTAGTGAGGGACCAATAGATATTATTGGATAGGGGTTACCATATTCAGACTTGTGTTTTTGGATGATCAAGTTGACAGTTGAGGAGAGGATATACTGAAGTGAGGTGAAACTTGAGTCAGAGAGGCCAACTTGTAGCTATTGACATAGTGCAGGTAGGAAATGGAGAAGGTGGTGGCAGTGTCAGTGGAGGGAAGAGGGTGAATAAATGAGAACTCAAAAAAGACTATATAATACTCTAATCATTTCCTGTCACCCCAAAACTTTTCAGCCTCCAGTTTGTGGAAGATGCTTGGTCACTGCTAGTTTTGCAGATTACCTGCTATTCCTGTTTTTTTTTTTTTCTCTTAACCACCTAGGAATAGCTTTCTTTATTTCTGCTCTATTTTATTTTCCATTTCAGATTATCTGTTATGATTATTCCCTAGAGTGATTCTTTTCTCTGTGTGCTAATGGAGTTAAGGGAGGGAAAAGTACATCTGAAGATTCCTTTTTTTTTTTCTCACAATACTTTTTGAAATTTCAGCTCCTTGGTAGTGCATTAGTCTATGAAACTGCCCATTTGAAACTGGTTTTCTCCCTCTTTACAGTTGCCTTTCTGAGCTGCACATGGCATGTGCATCTGTGGCATGCTGATACTGGCCCATAATATGCTATGAGAGATAAATACGTCCAAATGTTTTTGAACCAAGAAATGAGCCATTTTATGCAGTTTGCATGACTTTCTTCTTCCTTTTTTTGTGTATTAATTTCTTACTTAAATTGATCATTGAATTAAGTTTACAAAGAGTTTTGTAAAAGCTTGTATAGCATCAGGATCCCTACACGGCCAGCAGTACAGTCTTTTTAGGACCTCTCGATACTTTTCATTATGCTGATGACTCTAGGAATAGTGGTTGTTGAATTTTATTGGCCTTCTTCTTTAAAGTAATTTAATTTCCACAAATCTATTGTTTAAGAGGCAGACAGTCCTCACTGAATGAGATCAGGTCTTGGAGGCATGAAGATCTGGGTTTTCAAGTCCAACCTTGGATACATACTAGTTATGTGAACCTGGGTAAGTCATTTACCCTCATAGTACCGTATGCAATGCTGTAAGACAAAAATATGCAAAAAAGTTGCCAAGTTACATTAGGAGTTTCTTACTAAGAGATCCCTATATTAATGAAATATCATTTCCATATTGTATATTGCTCTAAAAATATAAAGAGAATTAGCATGCCTGCCTTCTATAGGGGTAAAGGGAAACACTGAGGAATCTTGTGAAAGAAAAATTTGCATAACTTTTTAACATATTTTGTATTTTGAGCAGCATATGAAATCTTCCAAAATTAAAAATGTATATATATATTTTGAGGACTAAGAGAGAAAAAGGATCGTTAATCCAATGTTCTACTTTGTAGATATAGGCAAGAAGGAAGCAGAAAATACATCATTTGACTCTTTTGGAAGAGAATACAGAATAATCTTGAAACTGTTTCAGTGGTTTTAAATTTAAACCCTTGATTACTTTAGCTATTGTACAAGTAATCGAAATAACCTCAACTGTATTAAAACCTATAAAAACATAATTTACCCATGTAGATTGTAAGTATATAGTCCAGGTAAATGGGACATTTGATTTAATTATCCATAGAATTTACTTGTATTTTTTTAAGCTAAAAGCAGACATTTCTGGCTTTAGCTTGTGGCTGTCAACATTGCTTTCATCCACCAGATAATTGCTCAACACTTCCCTTCATACTGCCTAGGTAGAAAGAGGCATATGGTAGAGTTGCTCTCCCAACTTAAGAGGTTCTTTAAAGTTTCAAATGCTTTTCAATTTGACTCACTGAAAGGTTAACAAGAGGAACTAGATTTGTCAGTCCTGCTTTCCATTACTACAAAATCCTAATTATATTTTCTGAGTCTTATTTTGATGCTGACTGTCTAAATGCTGATTGGGAGAAAAATAAGTAGCCTTTACAATCTTCCAAGCACTGTGCTAAGTGCTGGAGATATAATACAAAAGTGAAGAGTAGTATATACCTTCAAGGAGCTTACCTTCT